GCGGCCCGACGCGGGAGGGGCGGGAGCACCACCGCGGCTCCAGAAGAGCCGCCTGCTGCCCCGGCTGCCCGCCTGAGCTCGCTCTCCCACAACGGCGCCAGGACAGGCCTGGCCGGGCCGCGACGGGCGCTCGCCGGGGCAACGCCGCCCAGCACCCGGGCAACAGCGCGACGAAGACCCGGAGGATACACGGCAGCGCAAGATGCGCGCCATCTCCAGCCCGCGCCCTGCGCGAAGACTGACCCTTGAAGCTGGACGCATCGCCCGCCCCCGGGGCGGCGTCTAACGGCAACGCCGAAACCCGTCACGTCGCTACCGAGGCCAGCGAGCTTCTGCCTGGCTGCGCCGCACCCGCAGGAGGTGGGCCTCGTGACGCTCGCACCCGAGCCGGCGGAGCTAGCGGCGAAGCGGCCGCCAGCGCCAGATCCTGGACGCCGAGGGGCCCCCAGGGACCTCGAACACGTTGCACGCCGCAAACTTCACCAGCACTCGAAAAATAAACCTGGCGCACTCCAGGCCGTCGGAATTGGTGCCCCCACTCGCCTCGCAGCGCCGCGCCGAGCTCCACCGCGCGCAGGACATGCCAAGCGCGACCACCCAGATGGGCCCACCACGGACCAAGCCGAGGACGGCGTCAGCTTCCGCTCGCGACGTCGATCGGCACGGCCACCGCGAGCCCCAGCAGCGACACGGCCGCCGAGAGCCGCACGCACCCGGAGAAGATCCCAGGGAAGAACTTGCTTTGACGCTGCAGCCCGGGCAGAGGTGCGACCTCTGGGAGAGGCGGTCGAGCGAGCAGGCTGGCTGGGTCGCGGAGCTGCGGCGGGGGAGCGACCAGGTCGGAAGGCAGCGCAACGACTCCGAGACCACTGCGCTCCGCGTCGCCACGCTGCCCCCCTGCGGCCACGGCGCCGCCGTCGACGCCCACCCAACACCGCCTCGGAGACCTGGGCGCCCCTCGTCGAGCGCCTCGCGGCATGGCCACGGCGGACCTGCCCGGTCAGGAGATGCAGCCGCCGCGACCTGAAATCTCAAGGGCCGCAGTCGGTCTCGATGTGCCGTCGCGCCCAGCGGACGCAAACAGCCGCCTGCAGCGCGGGCGCGCAGCGCACGAGGACCAGCTGGTCCCAAGACCAAGCGCGCCCGCGGCCCACGGCCAAGACATCCGCCACGTCGTCACCGAGCAAGGAGGACCTGAGAGCGGCTGGCCCGCGCGGAGAGTCCTCGATACATACGAGGGCGGCCTGGGCATCCCGATTCCGGATTATGGCGGCATGCCTCCACGCCCCGACGAGCACAGCTCGCCACCAGGCGGGGCACCTCCAGCTCGGCGCGAGGCGCGGCACGCGCCCGACGACCTCCACAAGCGGCGGCACGGCAACAAGCCCCAGCGGCCCAATTCGGCGGCGGCGCTGCCGACAGGAAGTTCCAGGCGCACGCCGCGAAGTCGCCGGTGACCACTTCCCCTGGCGCCCGACGGCTCGGGCCCCTTGAACCTCCACCTCTCGCGGCACTGGACGGCGGCCCACGCCTCCCCGGCCCCAGCATCGGCAGCGCGGGCCGCGAAGCCGCGCGCGCTCGAGTCGGAGCACGCGACCCGCGCGAAGTTCCGCCCGAGCTCGCTGGCCGCCAGGGCGAGCAAGGCCCTGAGCCACACGCAGCTCGGACACCGCGGCAGCGCCCAGCGACCGAGGAGGTCCGAGCCCATCGCCCGCGAACTGGTAGACCCAGCACGAGCAGCGGAGGAGATCCCTCCACACGCTGAAGTGGTCGACGAGGTCCCCGATGACCCGCCACACCTGGCAGGGCGCGAGCATCCGACACTGGCAGACTTCGTCGAGCGCCAGCCAGAGTCGCCCCAGGCGCCTCTGCCGCGGCACAAGCGCGCGGCGCTGCCCCATGATGCGCCAGCAGACGAGCTCATAGTCAGTCGACGGCCCGCTCTCTTCGTGGAGCGCGAACCCGATCTAGGCGAGCTCGCCGTGCCGCGGGGCGAAGAGCTGCTGGGCCGCCTCCGGGCCCCGGCGAGGGCGTTGCCGTCGTCGACGCAGGGCGCGACGACAGCGGCGGCCCCCAGTACTGCAGAGTGATCTCCAGGAGCCCAAGCCGCCCGAGCGCCCGCACGGCTGGCCGCCTCGAGGCCCCAGTGGCAAACGAGAAGCGCCCAGCTCTAGCCCATCGGCAGCCCACCAAAGCACGCCCACTGCCGCTCGGACCCGGCGACTGACTCGACCCGCTGGTTGTCGTCGTCGAACGCCTCGGCGACCCCGACCTCGCTCGCCAGGAACGACGCCCCGAGCGAGAACCAGGAGGCGACGCTGTCGGCGCGGAACTGGTGGAACCCACCTTTGAGGTCCACACCTGCGCATGGGACGTCAAAGACCTCGATCGGGGCGTCGCCGGTCTGGCGCGCGGGAATAAACCAGCTCACCGAGAGGCGGCATCACTCGTCCGTCATGACCGGATTCGCCAGCGCCCCCTGCGTCGCCAGGTCTGACCCGGGGGGTCGCCTGTGCAGCTGGTTCGTCGGCCTGCAGTCGAGCACGAGCCTGGTGTCGTTGGTTTTCTTTTTGGCCCAGAAAGCGCCGCATTCGCAGCGCGCCCGCCTACGCCGCGCGACGAGGCCGACTCGACCCAGCTGACAGACGTCATCGCGCCGCGCCTCCCTCGAAGCCACCCAGGGGATCCAGCGCGGAACCACCAGCTTCGAGACCAGCGCCAGCTCGCTCGGCAGCAGCACGACGAACCTTTCTGGGCCCTCGGGGCACTGCCTGCATTCGCCCCGCACCAGCTCCAGAGCATCCAAGGGGGCACCAGCCCGACGCGGGACAGCTAGCCGCTCTGGCTCGCACCCCTCAAACGCGGAGCCGTCGTCGTCGTCGACGTCGCAGATCGACTTGCACCAGGTAAACTCCGCTGGCGCTCCGCCGGTGAACTCGACGCCAGCGTCCGGCGACGGGGGGAAACATAAAACTGCGCGTCCAGTGCCATTGAGCACCCCGTCCTGCACATCGGAGACGCCCTCGATGGGGAAAAACTCGGCCAGGCGACCCGAGCTTGAGCGCCCGTCCCGGGTGACAGCTGGCCAAAGCGTCGAGAGACGCCACGGCCCCCTCCACCAGCTCATCGGCTCGCACCCGCGGGCGCCGCCGCCGGGAGAGGCGGCGGGCACCGCCTCGACTCCCCGCCACCTCGGAAAGGCGAAATGGTAGCGGAAAAAAGCCAATGCCGACCATCACGACTTCACGATCGGCCCCAGCCTCGAGAAACTGTCGCGGCGGGCGGCAGTTACTTGTCCTTCCCGCCTCCTTCTTGATCATCGACCTTGTTATTGCCCGTCTTGCGCTTCTCCGCACCACCCTCCTGGTAGAGCCGCTGCTGTTTCATCGCGAAGGCCTTCGATTTCTGTTCGTTGGCGGCCCACCTCGCAAGCTCGCTTGCCAGCACTCCCCCCGACAAGTCTAGGCGCGACATCGCCATCAGCCCCAAGACTTGGAGCTCTGGGTTCTTGGGGGCGCGGTCCAACGCCCGGTGAGTCTGGAGTAGCAGGCGCGCCGCCATCTCTGCCCCAGCCAGCTGGCCAACGTTCATTTGGTCGAACGACGGCAAGATGGAGGATCGAGAGGACGCCCCTGTTCTTCAGCGCCGCCAGGTGGTCCGAGCTCACCCCCGAGGAGCGCGCCCAGCAGTCCTGGAACCCCGTGAGCTTTTCTTCGTTCGCCGCACGCGCCGCCATCAACACTTCCTGGATCCCCTGTGGCCTGGGGCATGGCCAGTCCGCGGGCGGCGGGCCCTCCAGGGAGGGCACCTCCGAAAGCGCGCCCCTCCGCCTCGCGAAGCAAACCCTGCCCAGACCCCATTTGATCGACAGGATCAGCGCGTCGCGGCCGCGGCCGGTGCACTTCTCCTCGCGCCAATCCTGGAAGTCCCGGTGGCCGACCCGCTCCACGAACGTGTACCTCTTGCCCTGGTGGTCCACCTCGGCCAAAGCCGCGCAACCCTTGACGACCATCCGCGTCGCGTTCCGGGTGATCTCCACCGGCGCGACCTCACAGAACTGCTCGCACGCCCTGCCGTCGAACCTCTACTCCATGGTCAGCGCCGCCGCCGCCGCGCCAGCGCCCGTTGGGGCCCCGGCGGAAGGCGGCCGCAGAACGTCGGCCACGACCATCGCGTCCTGCCTCGCCGTCTGCAGCGCCACCTCGTCGAGCTGGTCCGCCCCGCAGGACGTTGTTGGCGATCCGCGCCGGGCACAGCGCGCCGCGGGCGACCGGCACCACGATGTGCCTCGCGAGGTCCGTCACGACCAACTCGGCGTCCAGCGAACTCGAAATCCATCGAGTATCGTCACGCCGATGGCTCAGGATGCGGACGCGCCACCGACAGTGCGGGTCGTCGTCGCAGTGGATCGCCACCATCACCTCGTGCAGCTCCGCTGCCCGCGCCACGGCCTAGGCCAAGCCTCAAACTGGGTCGATTCAGGCAAACACGACCGCCCTGAAGAAGATCAAAAAGCCTTCCTGCCAATTTCCTCTACTTTCCTATCTCCAAAAAATCTTTCTCCTGATCTCAAGAATCGTGCCACCAAATATTCTGGCGAATCTGTCACAAAGCTTCGCGCCTAAAAGATATCCCAGCGAATCTCCAACAAATCTTCGCGCCTTGAAAATCTCCCATGGAATCTCCGACAAATATTTTCCAAAGATTTGTTGAAGATTGCCCAGAGATTTCTGCACGCCGGAGATTCTCCAGACATGTACTAAAGATTTTAACTGAGATTTCTGCGCGCCAGAGATATTTGCCAGAGATTTTCCAGAGATTGTCCGGAGATTTCTGCACGCCGAAGACTCCCCAGAGACTTCCCCAGAGATTTGAAAAGCCGGGAGATGTTCTGGAGCTTCCCCTGGAGACTTCAGAGTCCTGAATATTTCAAAAGGATTTGGGGGATGCCCAAACACCATGTGGCGATTGCCCCAAATACTTCCCAAAGAGTTGTCATCCAGAGGGCCCCAGCCGCGTTCGCCACACTGACTCAGTCTAAGCCACGCCGAGGGCGCGCGATCACCGGCGCCCGGCCCTCACGCGGTGCCCTCGCCAGCTCCCGAGGCGTCCCCCGCCGAGGGCGAGGCAGCGGAGGCAGCCAACGGCGAGGACGGCGCCGGCCCGGCGAAGCCACCTGCGCGCGGCGGGCCCCCGGCCTCCAGCGCCGGCAGCGGCGCCCTCGGGCGGCGGGGGCCGGCGAGGAAGGCGAGCGGCAGCAGCCCCCAGCCGCCGAGCGCCACCGAGAGCGACAAGCCCACGGGCCGAAAGGGCTCGAGAAAGGAACTACGGAGGCATGCGGATGGGGGATATAATTACTGTGCAGGCGCAGTCTATTTTATATAGATGTGTGTCTGTGTGTGTGTGTGTGTGTGTCAAAGTTCACTGCGTAAGAATCCAAATAAGATAAGGATCCCCACCAAAGGGCAACAGAAAACAGATGCCAGGGTACGGCGCACCACCACCCGTACCCCGGCAGCGCCTGCTTGGATGCCATCTGAATCCACCACAGAAGTAGGAAGCACAAAAAGATAATTAGAGGCCTCCGAAATAGGGCCCGAGTGGATGGGGTCGGAGGATCGCGCCGCATGCATCCACGTGGGCAATACATCGGCGATGCGGCACGATCCTCAAACCACATCTGCTCGGAACAAACTCGGAAGACATGAATTGATGACCAAGACGAGGGAAAAGGTCGACGGATCCGCAGAGTCACCAGAGCGCACATCTCGACAACGTGTCTTCACGCTGGCCCCTGCCCCTGCCTGCGTACACTTCTTTCCCGGGTCAACGGGAGAGCCCAGCTTACCGTGACATCACCCATGCAGCAAAGCTGCGAGAACAAGACAAGGTGACAAAACCTGTGCCCCCCTGCTGACGAGACGGAGCGAGAGGGAGCCCAGGGCATACGCTGCCCACCTGAAGCTGCGACATTGATCTGGCCATCTCGATCGGAACTCACGAGCGGCGAACGTGTCCTATCCGCGCTTCGGCGCGAATTGATGAAGGGGCGATCAATGGGGGGGGTATAGAGAGAGAGAGAGAGACAAAAAAAAATGCCCTATTCGGGCCCACATAAACGGCCACTTTTCTGCATCCCTTGCTGCCCCCCATTGATCGCCCCCCACTACGCGCCCCCCAATCCGCGCCCTCGCGGTCTTGATTCCGGAACGCGATCCCTCGGACACGCGGTCGCACGGACACGCTCCGCGCGGGGGGCACTCCCGAAAAGACGCCCCGCATCCGCGGGGTCGCGACCAAGGGGACCCTTGCCCCACGAGGCCGCGGATACAAGTAAATATGTCGCCGCGCCGCTTACTCAAAACGCGCCCACGTCAACGAAAGCCAGCCCCGCGGCAAAGCCCACGACAAGCCCTGCGTCCGAGGCGGAGTCTGCACTGGTGGTCGAGGCGCCCTCCCCAAGACAGCAGGCCGCGCGTCGGAACCAACGGCGCGGCGACGCGTGTCCTTCGCCCACGAGTGCTGGGCAAGCCAGGGGGTCCTGCGCCGTCCTGCCTCCCCCCCCTTCTCGTGCTCGGTGTCCTCCTCCTCGTCCTGCTCCTCGGTCTCGTGGCCCGAGTTCTGCTCGGGGCCCGGCCCGCGAGGCCGCAGCTACGGCTTGGATCTTCGCCCACGATACGGGGCCCAGAAATATACACCACCACCACCACCTCCCTCATCCCTCGGGGGTTGCTCAAGGTGCCCCTGGCCCCAAGGTGCCCCCAGCTATTCGTTCAATTTTGGAACCCCTGGGCCTTCTGGGCCTCGTGGGTGGTGCTCTGGAGGCCGTGTGGAAATCCTGGGGGCAGCTCGGGCCAAGGGGCACTCCTCGCAACATCCGAACCCCTCTCCCAGGGAGGGAGGAGGGGAAGAGGAGGGCAGAGGAGGAAGGGGAACGGAGGTGGTGGTGGTTCCCCTATCAGCGCTTGCATTGGTTCCGGGCCGATTTCAGAGGCTTCCGGGTTCCCGGGTTCCCGGTCAATCTCCTTATCGATCAAACCATCCACTGATTAGGGTTTCCTCTGGTGTAATGCACTCAGAAGCGACGATAGGGGCGAGTAGCCCAGGGGAGAGCAACACATGTATTCGGGTGCGCCGGTGCTCTATATCTTCGAGGAGGCTCCCGGGCGAATCCGTGTAATGCCCGCCCCTGCGCTATCCGCCCCTATCCTCGCCGCCGATGTACATCCTTGAGGCCCGCACGCGAGGGACCTCCTCCAAGTTCGGGCGTTGGCAGAACTGGGTTTAGTGGAACCTAGTTTAGTGATGTGTACTGGGGGACGCCCCCCCGCCCCGTTCCACGAACCCGAACTGCCGCCACCCGAAAAAATACCAGCTGCGGCAGACCTGGTTTAGTGATTCCGGCCAATTCAAAGGCTCCGGGGCCCTACCACTAAACCGGGTCCTCCTCCTCCTCCTCCTCCTCCTCCTCCTCCTCCTCCTCCTCCTCCTCCTCCTCCTCCTCCTCCTCCTCCTCCTGGCTATACCCGACAAGTGCCGGGCGCCCGGCGGCTTCGGCGCGGGGGATCCCTGGGCAGAGGCCCCGAGGTCCCGCGGCCCTGCCCGGAGCGGAGCGCGCCGGCCCTCGCGTGCCGACCCGCCTGCCTGCTGCGCAGGAGGGGTGGAGGCTGAGGAGGAGGAGGAGGAGGAGGAGGAGGAGGAGGAGGAAGAGGAGGAGGTCGGGAAGGAGGAGGAGGAGGAGGAGGAGGAGGTTAGGAGGCAACTGCTGGGAGGTGGATTTGGCCCCATTGGGGTGCTCTTACGCCGGAGTGGGCCACGGATTAAGCGGGATTAAGCCGGATTAAGCGGGATTAAGCCGGATTAAGCCGGATTTAGCGGGATTAAGCCGGATTAAGCCGAACTTCGGACCAGGGCAAAATCAGAATTTGACCTCACAGGAGTTGCATCCGAAAGGAGGAGGAGGAGGAGGAGGAGGAGGAGGAGGAGGAGGAGGAGGAGGAGGCGGAGGCGGAGGAGGAGGAGGAGGGGGAGGCGTGGGCGGGGAGGCCTCGTCTCGGTCCCATCGCGCCAGGCATCCATGTGGCATCCGTGTCGGTTCCATGTCGAGCGCGTCAAGTCCGTGTCGAGTCCGTGCCAAATCCGCGTCGAGTTCAAGTCGGATCCGCGCCGAGCCCACGCCGGAGGACAAGAAGAGACTGCAATTTACGGGACAGGAAATCTCCGCCGAAGGTACAAAGTAAAGTAAAGAAGGGAGATCAGGGAGGAGAACCAAGAAGCGCAGGAGGAACAGCAGCTGGAGGACGGCGGGGAGTCGGGCGCACGAGCGAGCAGTAGGGAGATGGTGGTGGACTGCCCTGCCCTGCAGCTCCCTGCCCCCGAGCCCCGGCCTGGCCCCATGGCCGGATAGACGCCGATGAAGCCCCCGGGATTGAACGGCACCGCCGCGGGCGCCTGGAAGCCACAGCCCTGCGGAGGCGGCCCTCCAGCGCCTGGGGGCAGGGATGACTGAGTCACCATGCACGGTCGTTTGCTACTGGACCTCTCGTCACTCACGTCGCAGGCCACGAGACCCCAGCCGCGAGATCTGACCGCGCCTGCTCGTCGGAACACCAGGGCACGATGGGAGTCACGACGACCGAAGGCCGATCCTATGACCCGTGGGCTGCCCAATCGAAGCAGGACCATTCTACGGCCACTGCTTCTCAGAGCGAAGGCGGTGCCACACAGGCAGAACGTCGAGGTTAGGCACATGAACTTCCCCGCCACCCACGGACCACCAAACCCGAGGCGTGCAATATCCGCCACCGTGTAGCAGTCCCCACGTCTCCAGGTCTCCAACGCGAGGAGTGCGCTCCCCAGGTCCCGTCGAACTGTCTGCATTTGGCACTGCTACTCCTCAAAGGCCCAGGGCCCCGATTTCCACGGGATTCTGGGCAGTCCGGGCTTCTCGCGTAACTTTGCCAGAAATCAAGTCAATGAAAAAACCGAATGGTTTCAATGGGTTCGGGTTCAGAGGAAGGAAAGCGAACTAGCCCAGATCCCTCTAGCGCCAGGATGGCCCCCCGAGAACGCCAAGAGAACCCCAAGAGGAACCCAGAGGCGCCCAAGAGGTCCCAGGAAATCTTGAAGAGGCCACCAGAGGCCCACAAGAGGACCCCAGGAGGCGCACAAAAGACCACAAGAGGTCTGCGAGAGGTCCCAAGGGACATCCGAGAGGGCTCTGGCTCAGAATCCAGGCGCGGTGGTTTGATGGGCCGAAGGCCAAAACATAGCGCTCGGCATGAGGCGGACACCTCTAATTACGGAATCTGGCCAACGCTCGCCTATCAGACTGCGCCCCAAAAAAACGCGGAAGGCCAACCTGACATCCTGACTCTATTCGCCACCGTTCCTCCTGGCGCGTTGAGGCGTGGTAGACTGGCAAGCGCTGCCTGGTAGGGTTTGGACCCTCCCTGGATGCAGATATCTGCACGCAGCGCACCCCTCTCCCGAGGCTCCCTGGGCTGACACATGCCTACCTGGCGCCCTCCAGGGCGCCAGAGATGCTCAGGACTGCCTCCAAAGCGGCCCGGGCAGGCCACCAGAGTCGCCGAGCTGCTCAGAGATGCGTCCAAGACTGCCCAGGATGGCCCTGCGACGGTCCAGGATGGCCTCTGGACTGCCGAAGATTTAGGGATGAAGAAACGCCCCTACCCTGGGCTACAAGTCCGTGGTCAGTACACCTCCTGGTAACTCCCACCGGCCAGAGAGCCGCCAGGACGCCGCGCGGCACGCGCGATACGCAGGGTTTACCCTGTCAGCCCACAGGAGGTTCGGCGCACAGCGCTTCATAAACCAGTGTAGGGGCGTTTTTTACGCCCTCGAGAAGAGGCTTTCCAGACGGCCCCAAGAGAGGAGTCCGAGGGGACCTCCTCGGAGCGAGCGAGGCGCACTCCTGAGCCGTGCGTTGCTTCCTCTGGGGAGCTCGCCCCCGCCCACGAGGGCCGGGGCGCGGAGGCCG